AAAAAAAAAAAAAAAAGAAACTACAACACAGACAGAGAATACTCACCTTAACTGTACCATCATCACTGCCAGTGCAGACAAGCTGGGGGCCCCTCCTAGCTGGATAACAGGAATTCACGAAGGAAGTATGCCCCTTTAGCCTTTTAACTCTCTCGCCTGTTTCACTATCCCACACTGCCACAGTTTTATCGGTGGATGCTGAGAAGAGCATACTAGAAAGAGGAAGAACGAAAAAGAAATAAGCAAAGACGAGCAATAACAAATGAGCAATAACAATGTATCTTTCTTACTTGGCCAAAATGTGCCAAGTTCTTCAAGATCACTGACCTGTCCTGCTCTGCCAGTTTGGCCCATGATGCTGCAATGCTTTACCTTACCTACCAAAATTCTACTTGTGCTGTAGGCCCAGTTATAAGGTCTACCCTGTGAAGTCTGAAATTAATTAACTTGATACAACCAAATTTCCATATTATCATAGACATTCTAAAATTTTATAGTCATTAAAATGTTTATGATAAAATATATTAGATAAACAATGTTCTTTTTTTTTTTTGAGATAGAGTCTCACTTTGTTGCTCAGGCTAGAGTGAGTACTGTGGCGTCAGCCTAGCTCACAGCAACCTCAATCTCCTGGGCTCAAGCAATCCTTCTGCCTCAGCCTCCCGAGTAACTAGGACTATAGGCATGCGCAACCATGCCTGGCTAATTTTTTGTATATATATTTCTAGTTGGTCAATTAGTTTCTTTCTATTTTTAGTAGAGACGCGGTCTCGCTCAGGCTGGTTTCGAACTCCTGACCTTGAACGATCCGCCCACCTTGGCCTCCCAGAGTGCTAGGATTACAGGCCTGAGCCACCTCACCCAAACAATGCTTTTTTAAAAAAAATTGGGCAGCCCTCAGAACCAGAAGAGGTTCAGTGAACACTCTAAACAATATTCAGAGAAAAAAAGCAGCAGACAAGATTGTACGTATAATTCTAATAAATATGTAAAAACCTAAATAGTTTTGAGTAGAAAAAAGGTGTTAGAAAAATACAAAATCAACGGTGATTACTTTTGGAGTGGTAGGAATGTGGTCTTTCTTTTCCTCTTTCTGCTTTTTTTGGTTTCTCAAAATAAATTATCTTATTATGTTTATAATACAAATAGCTAACTTCTACATATAAAAATTACATTTTGCTTTACATCTTAAGAAAACAAATTTGTCTAGGCTGTTGAAATGTTAAATGACAGGGATGACATATTTGCCTAACAGATAATAAACACCCACTTGGGATAACAGTGATAAGGATAATAAAGTAGCTACCCAAATGTAGCAGTTTTTGACAGCAACATCTCTTGAAAGAGGAAACTCAAGGTTGAAAGGTGAAAGGATGCTAAGAACTAGTATGAGAAGCAGTTGTCATTCCATTTTGCAGGATACTCACCTGCCGTCTGTGTTATAATGCAGTTCCATCACTGCTCCACTGTGTCCCTTCAATGTGGCATAGTTATCACAGTCACCATAGACATTCCACAATACTGTTAGGGAGAAAGGGGTTCGGTGAGCATTACTAGACAAAAGAAAACTCACTACTGGCTGTGGAAAGGGTACTTACGAATTTATCAGAACAACAGTTCTCAAATTATACTCCCTTGGAACACTACTGGTTGTACCAAGTGGACTAATTTTCCTGACACAAAAATAAAAATAATGGCAATATTTTTACAATTCATAAGGTAAAAAAACTGATGGATATAATTTCTTAAATTCTTAATTTTTTTCCTCCTATAATTTAAAAAGAGTTGGCACCTACACTACTTGTCTGCACTTAGTCTATAAGCAGACTACAGAATGATGGCACTTACATAAAACCTAGAAAGCCACAACTTAAAGGTCACATGGCAATGACTTTATGTTACATTTATTCATTCCACATGTACTAAGAGCCTAATACATGCCAGGTGCTGGGATAAATGAGTAGACATGGTTCCTATCTGCAGGGAACATGGTCTAGCAAACAGCGAGGTCTGATAAGCACTAATAAGGATCACTTACATATATAAGATGTACATATAGACAATAATTATTTTTCTGCTGAGAAAACTGTAGTTTGTTCGATGAAATTAATAACTCATATATTCTGCAAAGATCTCTAAGCCTTCCAGATGCTTGGCCACTTATAAGCTTAAGGATCATAGAGCTAGAACATTCAAATCAAAATGGCACTGAAGACAGATAGCATCCACCTTGATGTTCAAAGTTAACAGAGAAGAGCCAAAGAATTCATTTCATCTCATAACCAGCACATGAAACCAGAAGAAAAAAAGTCAGAAGCTTCTGTTAGCTCCTCTCTTGCTTTTTCTCATGACTCTCCCAAAATGACTTTTTCTACTCATTTCTCAAAAATGAGTATTCCTGACTTAGATAGCTGAGACTCTGGTAGCAGATCCTAATAACGAACAGGTAGATTATTTAAGCGAGTTGCCATTTTAGGATCCCCTCCTTCTTTCCCATATGCTAGAATCCTGGGAATGGATCAAGAGGAGGATCTCATACTTTTGGGAAAATAAAGGTTATCTCTCTCATTACTCCCATTAACCTTCTAAGCCTAGAATGCTTAGTGTCTCGCTAAACCAGCTCAAGCTTTGCCTCTATGAAGAAGATATTTTCAAACTAGAGCAACTCATGTTCCAATCAGTAAAATTCCTTCCTTCTTTATTTACTACATAGACACCAAGTTCTACACCCAAGATCATTCAGCATTTTCATGCCCCAATTTTAGCATGTTAGCTATGTAGTTTGTTATGTTGGCAACTTAAGACTGATAACTTCTGTGGCACACAAGATTTTAAAAAATAATCACTATCTAGGAGAGAACAATTATTCAGATCAAAAAACTATGCCTTACGTATCAGTCGGTCAAATCCTGCAGATGCTAAGGTGGATCCATTGGGGTGAAACTTGCAGCAGTATACTTCCCCTTCATGTCCTGAGAGCAGCATGATTGGGGCTTGAAGGGAGGAACACCTTGGAGGTCCCTAGACAAAACAGAAGTACAGGGTAGCCACTGCAGGCAGGGGAGGCTGCGAAATTGGGGGGCGAAGTAGAGTATGGAGGAAAAAGATCATGGAAACAATGATTGAGCGAATTTCATTTGATTTAGAGAATGGTAGGTGTTCTCCATTCTCTAAATCTAATCTGCCTCCAATTTGACACTGTCCTCAACTTTCCAGGATATACTGTTATACCAACTCTCCTCCTCCCTCTCTCTTGCTCTTGTCTCACAGTCAACTTTTGATTGGTCAAACTTGTTGAAGTGATTTCTGACTCAGGATCTTTATACTTAACAGTTGCCCCTGACAGGAACCCTTTCCACCTGGATTTGGCTTCTTTCAAATATTCCCTCTTCCTACCCCGGCCGCGGTGGCTCATGCCTATAATCCTAGCACTCTGGGAGGCCGAGGCAGGAGGACTGCTTGAGCTCAGGAGTTCGAGACCAGCCTGAGCAAGAGTGAGACCCCATCTTTACTATAAATAGAAATAAATTAGCCAAACAACTAAAAATAGAAAAAATTAGCCAGGCACGGTGGTGCATGCTTGTAGTCCCAGCTGCTTGGGAGGCTGAGGCAGAAGGATTGCTTGAGCCCAGGAGTTTGAGTTGCTGTGAGCTAGGCTGACGCCACGGCACTCTAGCCAGGGCAACAGAGAGACTCTGCCTCAAAAAAAAACAAAAACAAACAAAAAACACAAATATTCTCTCTTTAGAAAGCCTTGCTTTATCACACAAACTCAGTAAGCATCCCACCTATTCCCCTGTAGTGCATTATATGTATACCTCCATAGCATTTATCACTACCTGAAATTACCTTCTTCATGCACTTGCTTAGTTTGTCTTTTTCCCCAGGGAATTGACACTCTATGAATGCAGAGACCCTGCCTACATCATTCAACACTGTCATCCCAGTCTCTGGCTCATTTACTGAATGACTGAATTGACCTTCCCAACAATTCTGCATGGTACAGACTATTGGTCAAAGTGGTTTTGATTATGATCTTGGACACTTAGGTTAGACTCGGGCAATTCACCTAAGCCTGGGCTTATATTCTTACTTGTCAAATAGGAAGAACAAGTATATTAACCATAATATCCAAATCTCTTCAGTAGTTTCCAGCTAATTCATTTATTCAGAAAAATGTTATATATCAGGTATTGTTCTAGGCACTAGGGAAACAGCACTGAAGAAAATAAACAATGGAGCTTGTATTTCAGTGGGAAACAGGGAGGGAGACAGAAAACACGCAAAATATATGAATGGTGGTATATGCTATGGAAAAAAATGAAGTAGGAATATGGGGTATTGCAATTTGAAATAGAGTGGTCATGAAAGCTCTCATTGAAAAAGTGATATGTGGGTAAAGATTTGAAGGAACTGAGTGCATAAACCATGTGGACATTTTGAAGAAGATTCCAGCTGAGGGAACAGCAAATGCAAAGGCCTTGAGGCAGGAGCACAGAAAACAGTGACCGGAGCCAGGTGAGCAATGGAAAATTTTTCTATCAGAGAGATAAAGGGAATGAGGGCCAAAAGATTATGAGAATTTTGGTTTTTACTCTAAGTGGAAAGCCACTGGAAAGTTTCAACAGAGGGTTATGTGATCTCATGTTTAGAAGGATTCCTCTGGCTGCTGGATTGATAACAGACTTCAATACAAGAGCAGAAAATGGAAGACCAGTTAGCACCCTATTGCAAAAATGCCAGATGAGATAATAATCGTTTAGACCATGAGGTAGTGATAGAAATTCTGGATATATTTTGACGGGTGCCAGCAGGATTTGTTGAAAGACTGGTTGAGGAGTTGAGAAGGGTTTGTTTTCCCATCTGCAAAATGGGCTAGTTAACAGTTACTAACTTACAAGATTAATGGAGATTTCATATAAAAGCACTTAGTACAAGGGTCAATGAACGTTAGCTATTATTCAGTTATTAATGATACTAGTGCAGAGAAATAAAGGGAAAAGCAACTTGTCCAAGTCCGAAAGCGAGCCAACATCATTAATTTCCCTTCCTCCTCCTCTCATTCATTCATTTACTCTACAAACTTTTCTAAATGTTTATTCTATGCTGGATCCCTGGAAGATTTAGGATGCGTGAGCCTGGTCTCGGTTTTGAGCCCAAGGTTCTTAACTCGAATTTTAGCGCTACCTATAAGGGCAGTCGAGAGGCTGAAAACCGGTGCCATACAGGAAACCTGTACAGAGCATCCGCAGGATATCGGGCGCTTTTACAGTGTTTATCTGCTTTCAACCCAGGTAAATATTCTCGTTCCGCCCAGGCAATGCGGGAATGGGCCAGTGCCGGATCATCTATCTGATAAGCGCTCTGAGGGGAGAGGAAGATGAGCTGAGGGCCCAACGCCGCCAGCTTCTTCACTTACCGCTTGCAGCAGAGCTCCCGGCGTCGCCTGCTGCTGCCCCGCTCCCGGGCCCGACCCCGCCGCTCCCAATAGCAACTCATGCCGCTGCCGCTTAACTGGGACCAGCGGCAACTCCGGACCTTTACGCTTCTGCTGTTCTATCATGGCGGTAACCGCTCTCTTCAGCGCCCCCACGGACCGCGCCGACACCCTCAGGCGCCACGCAATTGGTTCCGACTAAGCTCTTCCTCCATAACTTCCGGCTTGGAGAGACCAATCGACGTTCAATATTTCCCTCTGCACCGCCCTCTGGATAGTCTCTTGTTATTGGTCTTATCGCGCTAACGTCACGAGAGTGCGATTCCAGGATTGGTGGACGGAGCTGGCGTCCCTCCTAGGCGCGCTGGGTCTTGTGGGTGGAATCGCACTGACTGGGTTTGGCTTTTCGCACGATGCTGCGCCTGGGAGACCTGAAGCTGACGCCGCGTAAGTGTGAGGAAGAGAGGGGGTGGTTGGCTGCATGAATCTGGAGTCGACGCCTTGGTTGTGCAGTCTGAGCCTTCTCTTCTCAGCTGAATGTGCTGATAGCAAGGGGCGGGAAACGGGCTTCGTGTCCCCAGATCGGGTATGTAGTAGCCTGGGTTCCCTTTCCAGGCAGGAGCACATCTTTGGGGTCTCTGGCGGCAGGACTCAGCCCCTGCGGCTGCCTGGGGCCCTTGGCGGCTCTCTCCTTCAACAAGCGTTTGATGTATCCAGCTTTCCCAGGGAGAAGGCCTGTCTCCCAGCCCCTACCAGTGCCCCGATTGGCTGAGGAGGCCGCCTTGTTTGTGTCACTGATTCTGCAGTCTTTTATAAGGACCTAGTCTGTACCGCTGAGAGAGACTGTGATGAAGGAAATGTCCGATTCCTTCTCCAGAGCACAGTCTTGTTGAGAAATGTGAGACTCATACACATGAGCCAGACCTTTTCCTCAATCGTCCAACTAATATTTATTGCGCAGAAGGTTGGGGATAGATTGTGAACAAACATGGTCCCTGATATCAGGGGGTTTGAGTCTGTTGGGGAAAACGTGTTAAACTATGATGTCACTAATAAATGGAAGAGCCCCCCTAGGAGAAATACCTGATGCTATGAGTGCTTGAAATAAGCAGGAAGGTTTTTCTGAGAAAAAGATGCCTGAGCTGATATCTGAAGGAAGGATTCTAATTAATTAGGTGAAGAGGTAAAGGCAGAGTATTCCATAGAGAACAGCATGTTCAGAGACTCTGCACTTGGGAGGAAAATGACTAAAATGTCACAAAGAGCCAGTGTGGCTGCTACAAAGAGAATGAGGGGGAGTATGGTACAAGATGAAGCTGGATGCAATAGAGGTCAGACCTGACAGGAATTTGTAGCTGTTGCTTTAAAACTGATGGGACACCACTGAGGCCCCCCTGCCCTTTGGGTATGGTAGAGGAGACGTCTTGATCCCTCCTGAACAGATTGGGGAGGGGGAGCCCTAGTGGATGCAGATAGACCACTTAGGAGGATGTACAGTAATCCTAGTCAGAGATATCAACAAAGACTGAGATATTGGTGGAACAACAGATAATTGGACAGATTCTAGGGATATACAGGAAGTAAAATGGAGAGGACTTGGTGATGGATTAGATTCAAGGAGTGAAGAGAGAGAAATCAAAGATAACTCCTAGGTTTCTAGCTTATATATTGGCTTATCCTTGTGGTTTGGGGTTTTTTTTGGGGGGGGTATGTGTGTGGGGTCATTTGTGGCATACAAGAAGCAGCTTGAAATACAGTTTTGATGCTCAGAAGAGAGATTTGTGTTGGAAATATAAATTTGGGGACAATTTGCACATAATTAAGCCATAGGTGTGGGTAAGGTCACCTAAATTAGAACCTTGAGTAGTTCTAACATTTAATGGGAAAGAACAAGTGGATGAACCTACAGGAGAAACAGAAGAGCTAGGGAATAGGACTGGAGGAATGTCTCAGAAGCAAAAGAGTAGTCTGTGATAGAAACTCCTGGAATTTAAATAACTTGAGGATTGAAAATTCTCTGTTCACTTTATTATTATGGAGCTCATGGTAACCTTAGCAAGAGTTTTATTTTGTTGGTGTGATTGGTCCAAAAGCCAGATATGAGGCAAGGATTCAGGCAAGAAAATGGAGGCAGTGAACCTAGACAGTATTTTTCATAGATATATTGTAAAGAGGAAGAGAGGATGTGGTAGCTGATGGGGATGAGGGGTTGTCTAGGATCCACTTGAGAGAGCAATGGAGAAGTTGAATATATGAGAAACTGGGTCATCAATAGTATAAAATATCTGAGAACATAGGAATGGATGGGATTCAAAGTACAGATAGAGGGATCAGCCTGAGGAAGATGGACAATTTCTCCATTAAACAGAAGTGAAGAAGGCTATAGATAAAGGTTGTTTGTATGTTTAATATTGGTAAGATGAGTTCCTTTCCCATGACTTCTATTTTCTCTGTAAAGTGAGATCATGAAGTGAGAGTTGAGAATACTGCAGATGTGAAAGTCATTGGGGAATGTGAGAGAATGAGTTTACTAGAGAAATGTAGTACTGCTGGACAGAGTTAAGGGCCCATTTGAGGATCAAAAATTTTTTCCAGCACATTAGACACTTTAGTACCATGTTTCCCTGAAAATGAGACCTACCCATAAAATAAGCCCTAGCAGGATTTCTAAGCTTTTGAGCAATGTAAGCCCTACCCCCTAGTGATGGGCGTGGCTACACAGTGTATCTGCACCACCCATGCATTTCGTCACAGAGCGGTAAAGAAGAACAGCAGCCCTTCTCATCTGCCCCATCGTGACAGCTACTATCCCAGAGGTGACTGGAAAGGTGCGGGCAGCCCCACCAACAAGGTCGGCTCCCCCTGTCAGGTCCCAGTCATCCTGTGTGTGCTGCAAGCTGAGGCTTTGAGGGGAAAGTCTCCTCAGTGAAGTGAGGAGTGGGATGCTCTGCCTTAGGTATTGTGTGTCCCCAGGGAGAAGAAGGAAAGCTGTGGCTGCCATTTTACTGAGCACTGTGGGCCTCTCTCACTCCCCACAAACACCAGGGGATAGGGGAAAAGCTTCAGCAAGTGGTCTCCTACTGCACCCAGAGAGATCATTTCTGCTCCACTGTGCAGATTGGACCCAGTGCTCACCGGATCTCTGATAAATAAGTCAGCCCTTAAACATCAGCTTTGCTGGCCTATATCTGCTTTTCCTGAGTATCTGTACTCCCAGGTAAGATGAGTGCAAAAAGAAAGAGCTATTCTGTTGAGTACAAGAAAGAAATTGTGGAGGACTCCAAGGGCAAGAATCTTACGGCTTTCTACAAAGAGAAGTTGGATATCCGAATGGTCTGAAAATGGCGGGCAGAATATGATAACTTCAGTCTACGTGTGGATAGAGGAAATGCTAAGAAGTGCAAGTGTGGTTCAGGTCGTCAACCTTTCTTTCCCGAGCTGGAAGACGTGATTGGTGAATGGATTGCTGACAGGAGAGCAAATGCTTTGGTTGTGCGCAAGGCTGATATTCAAAGATTTGCCCTTGCAATGGCACCACAATTAGAAATATCCCCAGAAGGTTTCAAAGCATCACAACACTGGCTGGATGGCTTCCTTCAGCCATATGAACTGTCTCTAAGAAAATCGACAACACTGTTGGAAAATGCTGAAGTTATTAAGTGAGCACTTGCATTCAAGTCCTTTGTTGATGGCATTGACTTTTCTAAATACCAACTTTGCAACATGATTGCTATGGATGAAACTGCAGTGTTTATGGGTCAAGGAGCCCAAACAATTGAACAGAGCGGTGCCTCCTCAATCTGTTCCCTCCACTGGTCATGAAAGCTCACTCATTACCTGTATTTTGGCAGTTGTCTGGATGGAAAGAAAGTCACACCTCTTATCATCACTGAGGGTAAGAAAGATAAGATTGAACGTGTTTCCAACATTTATGTTCTTGAAACCAAAAAAGCCTGGTGCACACAAGCAGTTATAAGGAAGTGGTTTGATTTAATGCTGCCACTTGTTTTGCAAGGTGGCCAAAGAGGTCTGCTAGTCTGGGATTCAGCCAGTGCTCGCCGTGCTAAAGACATGAAGAACTTCCTTGCAGAGAGAAGAATAGGTCATGTGAAGGGAGAGTAGTGGAGGCAGGCCCGTGAGGAGATCAGCTGTTTTTTTTTAAAATGGAGACAAGTCTTTTAAGATAGGGGTCGCTATAGAGGATAAGGAAATTGATAGGAAACAGAGAGAATAAAAGAATATATAGAGACTAAGGTATAGTTTATTGTTTTATATATAAAAAGATTAGATATAACATAGCAAGGTATTTAGGAGATTGGTATATCTTTATAAATGCCAGCTATATGGTTAGATTTATATAGGTTTTTATAATTATAGATATCAATTACCAGTTGTCAGGATAACATATTTGCATATCAGGGAATGCAGTAGTTAGGGGATATAGGTAATGGGTTAGGGTCAAAAGTCTTTTTAAGGGGCATTTAATCTATCTAGGTGAACAAACAGGTATAAAGTCTTTTAGGGGCTAAATTTTAAGTTTTATGAGGTAGTTGTCAATTGACAAATGTATAACAAAAGAGGTATAGTGACTTTATATTTTTTGATTAGTTATGGTGGACTTAAAGGTAGACAGACAGGAGAGAACAGGAAACCTATCTTTAATAAATAGGTTGTTTATAACTATCGGGGCGCATCTTTGGGCAAAGTGCACTTATTGTCTCTGGCTCCCATCCTGTGGGCCATATTTACCTTGTCATGTCTTTTAAGACACAGGCAAGCTTATAGATTTTGAGATATCGGGAAGCCTTTTTGGAAACCATCTCTATTGGAGATTTGAGAGCTCTCCCATGATAGCAGCCTCTAAATAAGTGAACTGTTGAGTTTACATATTTTTTTAGGGCAAAACCCTGTAAACCTTTGTTTTTGTCTTTAATATAGTAATATAGGGTTATATAATAAAATAATGATCTTATGAGCCACATCTCATTAATTTCTTAATCATATTTTCCCAACAAGATCAAATAATGATTCCTGCAGGAATGACTGCCTATTTGCAGACTCCTGATATTGCAATAAACAAGCTATTCAAAGACCATTTGCTCATGGAAATTAACAACTACATTGAAAATAGAATGACAAGAAATCAGCATGGAAACTTTGTGAAGCCTAGCCTGCAAGAGGTTGTGATTTTGGTGAAGAATTCATGGGATAAAATCACTGACAGTGTTGTTACCAATGCACTCCGAACAGGTTACATGGATAAGAGCTACTCATTTAATGAGTGCTCTATTGCTCCACATGAGAGATTGGGGCCAATGGTTCTAATTACAGTCACAAGAAATTCAGGATGGAATTCGGGATTTGGAGAGTTATAATGATGTTCCAGAAGAAGGCGGCTTAACTATATTTGAATAAATGTAGGTTATTGTACCGTACTTAAAAAAAAATAACACATCCCCTGAAAATAAGCCCTAGGGTGTCCTCTTGAGGAAAAATAAATATAAGACCCCGTTTTATTTTGGGGGAAATACGATACATATCCGTCTAGGTATAGGAACGACTGTGGCTTTGGCTTTGTAGCTTCAA